ACGGACCCCAAGACACACCTGCAGGGCGCCTGGCTACCAATCCGCCCAAATTCCGCTGCAATCAACCCCAATCCAATTTAGATCAACTAAGGCAGTTATGATCGTGTCACTTCTAATGACAATGATTCTACTATCAAAATATAATGATACTATTGCTAATGATAATGAAACTATTGCTAATGATAATGAAACTATTACTAATGATAATGATACTACTATCAATAATAATGATAATGAGACTACTATTCATAATGATAATGATACTATTGCTAAATGAAACTATTACTAATGATAATGATACTACTATTAATAATAATGATAATGATACTACTATTAATAATAATGATAATGATACTACTATTTATAATAATGATAATGATACTACTATTAATAATAATGATAATGATGAGCTACTATTAATAATAATGATTATGATATTACTGGAGAACTAATTTAATCATCATGATCAATTCTACCTCTTTCAGTATCACCACCAACAATTACACCACCAACAAAGTCAAACTAACCATATCATCACCACCTCCACTACGAACCATCACCAACAATCACCATCACCACTAATCAAACCCAACACAACATCCCTTCTCGTCCGCACAACACCCACAGGAACTCACCACAACACCACGCATTAGGAAAAACACCAAAACGCGATTTTCATAATAACATGTATAAACCTGCCGTGATGGGCATGTGGGGTGGTGTTCATGTGATGGGCATGTGGGGTGGTGTTCATGTGATGGGCATGATGTGAATGTGGGGTGGTGTGTTGTGATTGTGGGATGGGTCATGTGGTGGATTGTCTGGAGTTTCTGTTTGTTGCAATGGCAGTCGGTGGATTAGCTTCAGGATTGATTAGTGATGATTGGTGATGATAAATATGGATGGCGGTGATGGGGATGGATGACGAGGAGGACGAGGAGGAGGGGGAGAGGGTGGTGGCGATAATGATGGTGGTGGCGATAATGATAGTGGCGGCGGCGGCGGCGGCGATGGTGATGGTGATGGTGATGGTGAATGGTGATGGTGATGATGATGATGATGATGATGAATGATGATGATGATGATGATGATGATGATGAGATGATGATGATGATGATGATGATGAATGATGATGATGATGATGATGATGATGATGAATGATGATGATGATGTGGTGGTGGTGGGGTGGGGATGACGATGACGATGACGACGACGATGGTAATGATAATGGTGATGATTATGACGGCAATAGAAAACCATACTCAGCCACCCCCCCCCCCCACAAAAAATAAATAATAATAATAAAACATTAAAAAAATAACAACAACAACAACAACAAAACAAAAGATAACCCAACCTCCAACCTTGACGCAAAACAAAGCCAAACCGCACCTGATCCGTCAAACATCCGGGGCCGTTACGTAATTAGTCGCAAGGTAAAACGGATCGAAACAAAGATAAAAAATCCTTTGTGATACTAATTTTCTTGCTATTTGGCATAATAATAGCAATAATAAAAATAGTAATAATAATATAATAATAATAATAACAATAATAAAACTAATAATAATAATAATGATAATAATAATAAAAAATACTAATGATAATGATAATAATCATAATAATAATAATAATAATAATAATAATAAAAAATAGGATTGGGTGTGAGTGATGATGATGATCGGATGAAACAATAATTGAGGACTGGTAATAATAATAATTGCAATTAAAAATCTTTATATTCCTAATCCTTAAGAGGAGGAGAAGATCGAATCAGAGAGAGAGAGAGAGAGAGAGAGAGAGAGAGAGAGAGAGAGAGAGAGAGAGAGAGAGAGAGAGAGAGAGAGAGAGAGAGAGAGAGAGAGAGAGAGAGAGAGAGAGAGAGAGAGAGAGAGAGAGAGAGAGAGAGAGAGAGAGAGAGAGAGAGAGAGAAGAGAGAGAGAGAGAGAAAGAGAAAGAGAAAGAGAAAAAGAGAAAAAGAGAAAAAGAGAGAAAGAGAAAGAGAAAAGAGAAAGAGAAAGAGAAAAGAGAAAGAGAAAGAGAAAGAGAGAAAGAAAGAGAAAGAAAGAGAGAGAAAGAGAAAGAAAGAGAGAGCGTTAAATACGATATAACCTAACCCCCCCACCCCCCTCCCAACCCCTTCCACAAAAAGCAAAACATTCAAACAGATAAATCCCAGAACACACACACAAAAAAAAAAAAAAGGAAGTTAACAAAACAAAAAAAACAAAAAAAAAGAAGACCTCTTCCCCCTGAACAAACAAAAAGTATTTGCGGAACGGAAAATAGGTAGAGGGAGGGGAGGAGGGAGGAGGAAGTGGGGAAGGGGGGATGGGGAGGAGGTGGAGAGGGTGAGGAAGAAGGAGGGAGAGGAGGTGGGGAAGGGGTAGGGGAGGAGGTGGGGGAGGGAGGAGGAGGAGGAAAGGGAGGAGAGGAGAGGGGATGGTGGTGGAGAAGGCGAGGAAGAGGGAGGGAGAGGGAGAGGAGGTGGAGGGAGGAGAAGAAGGTGAGGGGAGGGAGAGGAGGTGAAGGAGAGGGGGAGAGGTGGAGGAGGAAGAGGAGGGTGAGGAAGGTGGAGAAGGAGGGAAGAGGGGGAGAGGGAGGGGGGGAAGATCTCGATATCAACCCAACCGCAAGACCGAGGGCGGGGGGGCAGGGGGGAGAGAGGGGGAGGGTAATTCCGCTAAGAATGAAAAAAAAAAAAAAAAAAAAGAAAAAGCGATTCTTCTTTACAGAGTACGTTACACGACAGACAAAACAAAACACACGAATAAGAGTTAAAAGGGACAAACGAGAAAGAGAATAAGGGTTAAAAGGACAAACTAGAAAGAAAGAAAGAAAAAAATAAAAACACAATACTCACAGCAGATCTTAATCATACATCCGCCTACAACAATTACCTGCGAAAAAAATAATAATGATAATGATAATAACAATGATAATAATAACTACAGCTCAATAATAATAAAAATAACAACAATAATAATAATGATAATAATAATAATAATGATAATAATAATAATAAATGAAAAATAATAATATAATAATAATAATAATGATATAATAATAATGAAATAATAATATGATAATACTAATGATAATACTAATGGTAATACTAATGGTAATACTAATGGTAATACTACTACTAATAATAATAATAATAACAATAATAATAATGATAATGAAAAATATATAAATAATAATTATCGCTCATGAACCACACAAGACACAAAAGCAAAGGAAAAACGGAAGCCATAATAAACTAAAGCAATTCGTTGACTAATTATCCTGTCTCTCTCCATCTCCCCTCTCCCTACCTCCCTCTCTTCTCTCTCTTTCCTCTCCTTCCCCTTCCTCTCCCTCCCTCCCTCCCCCCTCTCCCCTCCCTCTTCCTCTTCCCCCACCCCCTCCCCTCCACCCTCCCCTTTTTCCCCCCTCCCTCCCCCATCCATCCTCCTCCTCCCCCTCCCCTTCCTCCCTCCCCGCGAATGAATGAGAAGTAACGCTTATCCACACTCCCAGCCGATAAGGGCCGTGTTTGCGTTCTCTCCGTCTCTTCTCCCTGGTTACGCGTCATCGCTCGTGTCGGCAGCTGGTGTTTTCTTTATTGTCTTTATGTTTTTGCTTTTGGCCATTTCGATTTCGATTTCTGTCGGTCTTCTCTCTTTTCTACTTTTGCTTTCTCTTCCGTTTCTCTTCCTTTCTCTTTCCCTTTCTTTCTCTTCCATTCTATTTCTTTCTCTCCCATTCGCTCTCTTTCTCTTTTTTCTCTTCTCTATTTCTCTTTCTCCAACACACACACACACACAACCACACACACAAAACACAACAAAACACACACACAACACACACACACACACACACACACACAACACACACACACAAACTTCCCTTTAAAGTCTCACGGTCTTGCAGGCGTTATCTGAATGGAGCAACACGATAAGATAAGCTACCTTTGATCTTATTTTGTTCGAATAACTGTGGGAAAAAAAAAAAAACGTTCCCCCAAAACGTTTCCGCGCCCGACCCCCCTTAACGTTTCAACAAATTCCAACGAAAAAAAAAAACGTGCGAGCGAGAGTGAAAAGCTTCAAAATGGAATTAAACCGCATCTGATATGAAAACGATAAAAAATATGAGCAAAGGAACAAACAAACAAACAAATAAACAAACGAATAGATAAAACTAAAAAAAAATAATCCAAATAAACGTGTAAATAAGCACTTCAGTAGATAAACACGGAAGCCAATGGATCAATGAATAGAACAAGCGCCCTGTAAACAAAAAAACACGTACTCTAAACAATGTAAACAAAATTACGTAAACAAAAGTAGCAACGTCATGACGGGAGCGAAAGAGGGAGCGGAAATGCCTGTGGAGAGTCGGATCCTAAAAAGGGCATATTGTCCCCCTTCCTCTCCTCTCCTCTCTCTCTCTCTCTCTTCTCTCTCTCTCTTCTCTCTCTCTCCCTCTCTCCCTCCCCCCCTCCCCTCCCCCTCCCCTCCCCCTCCCCCTCCCCTCCCCCTTCCCCTCCCCCTCCCCTCCCCCTCCCCCTCCCCCTCTCCCTTCCTTCTCCCTTCTCCGCTCCTTTTTATGTCCTTCCTCCTCCTTCCCATCTCCCTTCTATCTTCCTCCGCCTCCTTCTCCTCCCTCTCTTCTACTCCCAAACCTCCTTCCTCCTTCCTCCCTCTCCCTTCTACCCCCCTTCCTCCTCTCGCCCTTTGCCCTCCCCTCATCCTACCTGCAAGGACACAGCCGCGGATACGAAGACATGAAGGAGAAAGGATAATAGAGAAAACAAGAGAACAGAAAAAACGAGAAAAAAATTATTTATTAATAAGAAAAATATAAATCCACGAGAAAAAGGTCTGCCCGATGCCTCTGTCCCAATCATTACAATCCCCTAATACTTATTGCGAGTTTCATTTCGAACAATTTAGTCTTAGAGCAATTACAGTGAAACACTTTCGCGAGTTCCCTGATCACTTGACGCCACCAAGATGCTGCACCTCGAAGCGTCACAGGTCATCCAATTGACAGCATTACACATTTCCAGCCCTGACCGGTCGCGCTCACTGCAGCTTGCACGGTCATCAAAACGGTAAATATACATATACTTCCTCCACGCACGCACGAAAGCACGCACACACGGACGCACACCCACAAAGCGTAAAGCGATAATATTCCTCTGTGCATGATGGAACCGCAAGGCAGAGCAGAGGCGAAGTGCTCAGCAGACGTAGTCCTCGGCAGACCAAGTCCCCGGCAGACCAAGTCCCCAGCAGACCAAGTTCCGCAGCAGACCAAAGTCCCACAGGCCCAAGTCCCCAGCAGACCAAGTCCCCAGCAGACCAAAGTCCAAAGTCCGGCAACCAGTCCACGGCACACCAAGTCCCCGGCACACCAAGTCCCCAGCAGAAACCCAAAGTCCCCAGCAGACCAAGTCCCCAGCAGACCAAGTCCCCAGCAGACCAAGTCCCCAGCAGACCAAGTCCCCAGCAGACCAAGTCCCCAGCAGACCAAGTCCCAGCCCCCCGCAGACCAAAGTCCCCGCGACCAAGTCCCCGGCAGACCAAGTCCCCAGCAGACCAAGTCCCCAGCAGACCAAGTCCCAGCAGACCAAGTCCAGGCAGCCAAGTCCCCCAGCAGACCAGCTCCCAAGTCCCCAGCAGACCAGTCCCCCAGCAGACCAAGTCCCCAGCAGACTGAACCGCTATCGTTCCTCGTCAATTTCATCCTCTTTCCACTGTGGTTTTACGGACTATTTGCCAAGCTTACAAAGGCGGACTCATCTTGCACCGCGAGAAGCACGTCATCGCCTCATCGCCACATCAACAAATGCAGGGGATGGGAGAGTGGAAAGGGGGAGGGGGGAGGACAATGAGAAGGGGAATGAGGGTGGGAGGGGGAAGGACAATGGGAAGGAGGGGGAGAGGAAGGGGAATAAGGGGTGGGGAGGGGAATGGGGAATGGAAATAAGGTAGGGGAAGGGGAAAGGGAAATGGAAACAGGGGAGGGGAAGAGGAAGAGAAAGGGAGGGAGGAAAATAGGGAGAAGGGGACAACTAGGAAAATATAAAAATGCTAGAAAACTGAAAGAGGAGGGAGGTGGAAGCGACAAGGGAAGGAAATTAGAAAAAAAAAATAGGAAGGGCAGTGGGAGGTGGAGGAGGAGGAGGAGGAGGAGGAAGGAGGAGGAGGAGGAGGGGAAGGAGGAGGAGGGAGAGGGGAGGAGGAGGAGGAGGAGGGGAGGAAGGAGGAGGAGGGGAGGAGGGGAGGAGGAGGAGGAGGAGGAGGGAGGAGGAGGAGGGAGGGGGAGGAGGAAGGAGGAGAGGAAGAGGAGGAGGAAGGGGTAGGAGGTCTTCGACACCCCTCCCCGCACCCCAACACGACAGACCAAAACAAAGCGGGAAGTTTCCATCAAAATGCAAATCTCGGAGACAAGAATCGAGCGCCATTTGAGGTGGGGGGGGGGGGGAAGTGTGGGGGAGGGGGAGAAGTACGTGAGAGAAAAGAGACAAATGGGGAAATAATTCATGGACATATGTCTGGGGGAGGGTGTGGGGGGGAAGAATACGTGAGAGAAAAGAGACAGAAATGGGGAAAATAATTCATGGAAATATGGAAATAATGCGGGGGGGGGGGCACGAGGAGAAGGTAAAGTTGGAGAAGGTTAAGTGAGGGTAAACTTAAATAAAATTGTGGGGGGAAGTTTTCTCAACACTTCTCGCAGCCCTAACAGGATCGGAAAGGAATGGGCCGAGAGAGAGAGAGAGAGAGAGAGAGAGAGAGAGAGAGAGAGAGAGAGAGAGAGAGAGAGAGAGAGAGAGAGAGAGAGAGAGAGAGAGAGAGAGAGAGAAGAGAGAGAAGAGAGAGAGAGAAGAGAAAGAGAAGAGAAAGAAAAGAGAAAGAGAAAGAGAAAGAGAAAGAGAAAGAGAAAGAGAGAAGAGAAAGAGAAAGAGAAAGAGAAAGATAGAAGGAAGGAAAAGAAAGAAGAAAGAAAGAAAGAAAGAGAAAAAGAGAAAGCGAAAGAGAAATAGAGAAAGAGAAAAGGAGAAAGAAGGAGAGACAAAGAAAGAGAAAAAGACAGACCATAATCGCCTTTCTAACAGTCACACACACACGCTAATACACATCCCCATTCATACACCAAAACCCTCCGAGGTAATAAAACCCCTACAAGTGCCAATAAACACCATTAAACCTTAAAAAAAAAAACTTAAAATGTCGCTTTAAAGTAACAACACTACACACCTTTTAAAAATCAGTATTGCCAATACATCGTCCCATAATTTCACCCCCCCCAAAAAAAAAAAAAAAAATAAAAAAACCCTTGCCAAGCCTCTATGGTGCCAATCGACATCACCAAAACAGCTGATGGTGATGTACGGTGATGTACAGTGACGTCACACCACACCACCGTCACTACAACCTCCCCCCCCCCTAATTCATATCCGCAACACATCTTATCGAAAAGATAACTGTTCCTTATCACCGCCTCCTGTTCAGGTACCCGGATGAACACTGTATTGAGGAGTCCCTGTTGCAACGATCTTTTCTTGCAATGATATTAGACATGTTCTGACACGTTGCGGCGAGGATGAGGGAATTAATAAAAGAGAATGGGCAAGAATCAAGGCAAGAAATATATGAAGGAAATGGCAAATCAATCAAAAATCAATAATGTAAATAAAAAAAATTGTTGAGATTGATGAATATCATGAATAGATCAGGTCGCGTTTGTTAATTATAAATAAACAAATCGCACTGAATTGACTCATCAAATAACCGCGTAAAATAACAAATAAAAATGTGACATGTAAGGGACTGACAAAGAGATAAAAAAAAATGTAAACCACACACGAAAACTAACAAGTAAACGCACACTACAATACCTAAATAATAAAAAAAGAAACCTCACAACCCCCCTCCCCCAAAAAAAAATATAAATATATTATATATATACACAACCACAACAATAAACAAAAAAAAAAAACAAGAACAAAAACCACGTCAGATTCAAACAAAAAACAAACAAACAAACAACAAAACGTCATCACGGCCACATGACGGAGGGCCTGTGGTTGGAGGGACAGTTTCGACACCAGCGCTCGAGGGTCACTGAGACACCTCCCCCCCACCCCACCCCCACCCCCTTTCCCGATCTCTCTCTTACCCTCTCTGTTCTCTGTTCTCTCCTCTTCTCTTCTTTGCCTCCTCATTTATCTTTCTCCTTCCTCCACTTAATGACCCCCTCCTCTTACACAAATAAAAAAAAACAAACACACACACCACAAAACAAACAACCAAGTACAATAAAAGCAACCAAGTGCAATAAAAACAAACAAGTAAACAACAAACAAAACAAGTACAATAACAAACAAATAAGTAAATAAAAACAAACGAGTACAATAACAAACAAACAAGTAAACAAACAAACAAGTACAAAAAACAAACAAGAACAATAAAACAACAAGTACAATAAAACAAACAAGTACAATAAAACAAACAAGTACAATAAAAAACAAACAAGTACAATAAAAACAAACAAGTACAATAAAAAGCAAACAAACAAACAAATACAATACATAAAGCCCAAAATGCCCTAAAGGAAGACGAGAGAGGAGGGGGAGGCGGGGAAGGGGGGGGGTGAAGCCACTTATTCTATCCGGTACACTTGACATTATTATCCGACGATGATAACACTTCCGATCCAAGTGGCCTTCCGCAAAAACACTGGCCCCGCCCCCTTTTGCTTCCCTTTTCTGTCTCTCTCTCTCTGTGTCTCTGTCTCCCTCTCCCTCTCTGTCTCCTTCTCCCTCTCTCTGCCTCCCTTCTCTCTGTCTCCCTCTCCTCTCGCCCTTTCCCTCCCCTTCCATCTCTCTTTTAATTCTTTGTTTCTTTGCTTCCTTGTACGTAGAAATAAGGGCTGGAGCTGGACTAGGGATGGTGATGGGGGCAAGGGTTGGAAAGGGGGGGGGGGTCAAGAGCTAAAGTAGGGGAAGGAGGTACATGCAAGGCTGACAGACTCAGGAAGGGGGCAAGAGGCACCAACAATAATAGGGGCAAGGGAAAGGGATAAAGGTAAGACCATGTTCAGGGGCAGGGGATATAGGTAGGGCCATGTGTGGAATTCATGATGAACGGATTGCAACAGGGACAACGAAGGGAAGGGCAAGAAAACACACCCATGTCACGGCGTACACGTATGCCCTGACGAAGCTTTGGCGAAAAGGCCCTCGGCATATTCGTGTGTTTTTCTTGTCCTTCCTTCGTTGTTCCTTTGCAGGTAGGGCCATGTACAGGGGCAAAGGGAAGGGATACTGGTAAGGACACGTACAGGGGAAAGGATAAAGGTAGGGGAAGGGGAAGGGACAAAAGAAGGGGTATATACAGGAGCAGGAAAATGGGAATAAAATAGGACCATGTACAGGGACAGGAAAAGGCAAAAAGATAAAGGTAGAGACACGTACAAGGGCAGTGTCGGGGGCAAGAGAACGAGCAAGAGTACAAAGAAACGGGAAAGTGAAAGGCGAGGTACTGCACTGTGGCCCAGAACCCTCTTCAACACATCCCTACTGTACATTCTTGCCCTAAAATCCTATAAATAACGCATAATTAAAGCAATTCGACCTTGCCTCGACCTTGGTTTTCATTGCATCTGAATACTCTCAATGAACAAAAAATAGATAAATAAATAAATAGAAAATAAAAATAACTAAATAAATAAAAAATATCTAAAAAAAAAAAAAAAAATAATAAATAAATAAAAAATAAAAATAACTAACTAAATAAAAATAAAAAAAATAAATAAAAAATAAAAATAACTAAAATAAATAAAATAAAAATAACACTTAATAACACCAACAGACATGAAATAAACATATCGCGAACACTTGTCCTTTCGACCTTCATCCTTCCCAAGACGCTAAGTTCTCATCCTAAAACGAAGTCATTTACTAACTTACTTCCTTCACAAATTTTCGAATTCCTTCTCCGCGGCAACAGGACTCGTCTGCCAACTCACCTGCAAAGAAATCAGTAAACAATTAAATACAGCATTGAAAACAGTAAAAAAAAAAAAAAAAAAAAAAAAAACAAAATTGAGGAGAGTAAATGAATCGAATGCATCATTGGAGAGCAAAAAAAAAATAATAATAAATAAATACAAAAAAGAGTAAAAATTAAATACAGTATTGACAGTAAAAAATCAATTACAGCATTGCGGAAAGTAAAAAATCAAATACAGCATGAGGAGAGTGTAGAATTAAATACAGCAGCGGGGGAGAGTAAAGAATTAAATACAGTATTAAGAAGATTAATAAAGATGGCCCAAAAACAAGGCATATCAAACATTTGTAATGTATACACGTCAACAATTCCCCTTATAGGCTTTGACGCATCGGTTTCTCCATAAAAAAAATAAAATAAAATAAAATAAAAAAATAAAAAATAGAAATAAAACAAGATCAAAATCAGTACAATGCAACAATACAAAATCCAAAGCACCAAATTCAATTGCCCATTCAATGCCGTGCAATACGCAACAACTTTTTATGTCTGTCTTTCTTTCTCCTTCCCTATCTCCCCCTCTCTATCTGTTTTTCTTTCTCCCTCTCCCCTCCCCCTCCCCCTCCCCCCCTCTCTCTCTCTCTCTCTCTCTCTCTCTCTCTCTCTCTCTCTCTCTCTCTCTCTCTCTCTCTCTCTCTC